TTCAGCTGTCACAGTCACTGGCTGCCCCGCTCCAGTGACCTCAGCCCATTTTCCGACATCTTTTTTTTTTTTTTTGACAGCCTATGGCACGATGTCCAGCTTGACCACAAACAAAGCAGTGAGGGCAGCTCATTTTGCCCTGTTGTACACAGTCCCTGCATCTGCCCCTGGTCTCTGTTGTTGGTGCCTGAGGACGGACTGCTGGTGGGCAGGGGTCCCTTGGTGTCGCACTGTCAGTAGGTTTACCCATCTGGGCCAGATGTTTGGTCAGTGAGGACACTTGTGCCGTCAGTTCTGTAATAGCAGCACGATTAGCCTGTAACTCAATGTCAACTTTAGGTTGCTTAATTGAGTCACTACTGTCAAGCTGAACTGTGCTTATAGTCACTGGTCGGGTTTTAGCTACTGTGCCAAGGCATTTCAGTCTTTCTTCCTCCTCACTAGTAGACTTAGTGATTTGATCTAAGAGAAAGTCATCACTAACCTGTAGGTCTTTGAGAAAGGGTTTTAGATCATGTCGAACATGGTTGCTTTTCTCATTTAACCCTTGGTAAAGTGTGTGGAGAAAGGTACCTTGAACTAGCCTTTTGTCATAACTAAACTCCGCACCAGGCTGTTGTGACTCAAATAACACTCGCTGCTTTAAACCCATGGTTTTGTACAAAAACTGCTGTGGGCTCTCTTTGTCTTGCTGTTTAGCATTACTTAACTCTTGAAAAAGCTCAGTACTATTTTTATCCCTGATGTGTGCACGGAGAAAACGTTTTAGCTCATTAACAGTTAAGCCATCTTTGTTAGTTAGCATATCTCTGAATGAACCAGCTTTTATGATCTTAATCACAGTGCGAATTACCTCTGACTCAGTAAAACCTTCTTGCAAACCTCCATCTATTTGTTTACACAGACTGCTGGTAGGTATGCTAGGTAGCATTACAACTTTCGTCAGAACCACTAGCTACAAAATATAGCTAACTACCGTATTTTCCGCACTATAAGGCGCACTGGATTATAAGGCGCACCTTCAATGAATGGCCTATTTTAGAACTGTTTTTATATATAGGGCGCACAGAATAGAAGCTACTACAGTCAAACGTTTGACAGGGGTTGCCTTATGCATCCACTAGATGGAGCTGTGCTAAAGGGAATGTCAACAAAACAGTCGGATAAATCATTCAGTCAAACTTTATTGATTTTTGATTTCATTCACAATACGGTAACTTAAACGAAGAGGGGAACTTTTGCCTGATTCAGTAAACACGTAAAAGAAACAGTCTGATACCACTAAATCAAACGTTAGTGCATTCACAATATAGTAACTCTCGAAATTGTTCAACTTACGTATAAAACGTAGTTAGTGCATTCGCAATAACTCAACGTTGTTCAAACGTTAATGTGCATATTCACAATATCTCCCAGCCTTGTTCAGTTGTAAACACGTAAAAGAAACACAATCTGATACCGCTAAATCAAAAGTTAGTGCATAACTCAACATTGTTCAGTTATGGTACGTATATAACACGTAAAGCTCACTTTTTCAATTCATTCCCCGTCCACGAATCCCTCGGATTTTTCTTCTTCAGTGTCCGAATTGAACAGTTGGGCGAGTACGGCATCCAACATGCCCGGCTCCCTCTCGTCATTATCCGAGTCAGTGTCGCTGCTATTGCCTGGCAGTTCAGTGATTATTCCTGCCTTCGTGAAAGCTCGGACCACAGTTGAGACTGATATATCAGCCCAGGCATCCACGATCCATTGGCAAATAGTGGCATAAGTCGCTCGGCGCTGTCTCCCCGTCTTGGTGAACGTGTGTTCGCCTTCTGTCATCCACTGCTCTATTCCCATGTTCGGCTGCGTAGCTGACAGCCTTGAGTTTGAACTCGGCGTCGTAAGCGTGTCTCTTGAAAGGTGCCATTTTGGGGTCTTTATACACACAAGTGGTGTTGGACTAGGAGTAAGCACAGTACCGGTGTTTACCGCTATTACTTCGGCGACGCCCCTGACTACGGTAGCCGTAATGCTGCAAGCGGTGCGGCTTTGTAGTTTACCAGTCGTACTGAAACATTTTGACAGAGCGCCGTGTACAACCAGTATAGATCAACCAATTAACCAATTGATCCATATATAAGGCGCTCCGGATTACAAGGCGCACTGTCGTTTTTTGAGAAAATTAAAGGCTTTTAAGTGCGCCTTATAGTGCGGAAAATACGGTAGTTGTTGAAACCCTGCCAGAGGTGAAGAATTCCTCGCTCCTAGGTATTCACTTAGTCTCCAGTGCCGCCGAGGCCCGAGAGAGTGCCAATCGTTCTCTGTAGGATTTGAGGTTTAATTTCTCTTTTTCCGGATTCAGGTGGCAGAGAAGCCAAACCAGTCGTCGGACAGCTGTGGAGCAACAGCACATGGCAGCGATAGCCAACCAGCAGCTCCAGTCAGCACCTGCGATCGCCTCGAACCTGTCGGCTTCAACGACGTAGAGGCCTCTGCCGCTTCTCTAGAGACACGGGGAGATAAAACTGACTCTGAGCCAGAGGAGAAGCCTGTCGAGCAGGAAGCGGAGCAGGATACTCCGATCTGCCAGCAGCTTGAATCAAGAGAGGCAGGTTCGACGCCAGCCGTTGGCGTGGCTGCCATACAAAGCCAGTCACCCGGTCTTGCCCAGAGGCAGGGCAGCTGTGACGGAGAGGAGAAGCAGGACCAGTCGAAGGCGGAGCCTGCTCTGGAAATGAAAGAACAGGAAGGTTAGTTGAGATGGTTTGGGAATAGAGGGGGGCTTTTCATTTGATCTATTCATGTAGAATCTTTGCATAAACAATGTATGTTGATATATGTAGCAATACGTATTGTATGTACACAGTCAGGTTTGTTGCTTTTCGGCACTGATTTATTCAATATGTTCAATATGAGTTTGTTGATGCCTGTAATAACTTCCCACAGTCCCAGAGCCGATGGTTAACTTGCAAGTTGTGAAGAATGACTCGTACGAGAAGGGCACCGACCTGATGGTGGTTAATGTTTACATGAAGGGGATCTGCAGGGACACGGCGAGGGTCATCTTCAGGGAACAGGACTTCACCCTCATCTTTCAGACGAGGTAGCAAATGAGAATATGCTGCCATCAGAGAATTGTTACACCATTCTTTATGGCATACTTTAATGCCATGCTTTAATGTCTTTTAACAACAGCCAGTGAATGATCTTTCTGTGTCATCCTTTCACAGTGACACTAACTTTCTGCGGCTTCATTCAGACTGTGGACCAAACACAGTCTTCAAGTGGCAAGTCAAACTCAGGTAATTGTCGCAGTCACTGTCATGTTTTTCTTCCTGTGCAGTTTTGTGAACTCGCGGTGCCAAAGGACCCGTGCTGCATCATCAGGTCAAACACATGACATTGATCATGTGGTACTTTGTGGCCAAGAACCCGACTTCAACTGGGATCACATTTTAGTGTGTCCCAGTGTTCAGCTAGAGCTAGTCATGATTAAACGTTTACGTTTCTATACTAGCTTCTACACTAGCAGAGTACGTTAGCACGCCATTAACGACCGTTAGCACTTCTATGCTACGCTAGCTACTGAAGGTATACTGAATGTAAACACAACGCTTTTGCTTTTTAATGATTGTGGAAAAAAATCACCTACCGGCTTTACAGGAGCAGTGTTGTTCCTTAAATTCATTGTCCTCTGTCTCGATCGCCGGGTGGTGTGGTGGTTCACTTTTACACTGATCTGAAGCTTCTATCTTTATCTGTTGAACCTGTTTTCACTGCTGAATCAGTTCCTGCATGTATCCTACACACGTATTTGAAGATCCTTCTGTCTGTTTCTCTCTGAAGTTGCTTTTATTTAGTTCTTTTTCAAAAATGAGCTGAAGTTTATACATGAAGTGCAGTTAGTGACAGTGTGGGCTCCATATTAGCTCTGACAGCGTGGTGTTGAGATGTTTTAATGTCTTTAAATCATTCATAATGTTAAAATACATAAAAATCAACCTGAACCGTAGTGGGTTACACTCTGACCGTCCCCATCTCTCTCTCTCTCTCCCGTGCCTCAGGAACCTGATCCAGCCTGAGCAGTGCAGCTACTCCTTCACCCCGTCCCGATTGGACATCACCCTGAAAAAGAGGCACAGCCAGCGCTGGGGGGGTCTGGAGGCCCCCGCCCCACAAGGTCTGCTGCCAAGCTTCTACTTCTAAACACTATGCGGTTATAGATTATTTTTTTTTTCTTAATGTTGCAAGTATGGTCAAATTTGATTCTCTTGTTGCTGGTAATGTCCATCACAAACATGAATTTCAAATCACGTGATCTTAAAACCATGTACAGTATATACACCGAGACAAAAACCTTTTAACAATCATATCTGTAAAGAATATACTTACAGCTACAGTAGCTGCACTCTTGATTGGAAGAGCAGGTGTGCTGTGTTTGTATGAGAAGTCATACTCGTGTGTTTTTTACTGTATGTGTTCTTTAGGGTAGCTCTCAATGACAGGAATTTCAGCTCTGTAACTTAGCTGGTAAGTAGATATGGGTGCCAGTCTCTCCTGCTAGCCCTATGTGGCCTCCAGACTGTGTGACACCCAACACTCGGTGCCCTTGAGAGCCCATGAAATGGTTCCAAATGGGACTACAGTAGACTGCAGCAACAGTTTGAAACTGCTTTCCAATAAGTTTCCTGGAAGTTTTTCGGGGAACAGCGATTGTAATTAACTTCAAAATACTGGAACAATAGATTAGAGAGTGTGCAATTGGTACACACAGGTCAGCCGAACATGCACAAAAATGTGTACAAGCAACATTTAATTCAAAATATATGGAGACTAACACTTCCTATGATAAATTCATACTGAATATATGTTTACTTGTGTTTAAATTGAGCTTCCTTGAAAGAAAGTTGTTCCTATAATTGGTACCAAATGACAAACTATGAAGCGAGGAATCTGTCTGTATGTCCTTTGCATATCTCGAGAACCGCTCATCCTTTCTAACACAATGTACTTCTATTTACTGAACTCTATTTTAAGGCGGAGCTTTCAGTTCTAATATCATGTTGGATAGTTTAATGCAACATAATGCATCATATTTTAATTGTTATATTTTGTGAGTAAAATTTGGTAACCAGTAACATTTTTTTAAACAAGTAAATAGTAAGTAGTTGCTGAGTTGCATATTTTTCTGTGCTTTTGAGGCATTTTGTAAGTTTTTTTTTTTTTTTTTTTTATTTATTTTTTTTAATTTTTTTTAATTTATTTTTATTTTTATTTTTTTTTTTTGTAAGACCAAAGGAAGTGTATGGCGTTTGTATGGCGGTTTTCGAGAACCACAGGTTAAACATTCTGCCCGTTCTGAACAGGCGTGTTTTTAACGAGTACTGCCCTTGTGTAAATGGCTTTAATTCTATGATGTGATAAAAGTAATTCTTCAAAATTGTGCCTTAATGAAAAGGCTTTAAATTCCTCATGTTATACAGTTTACAAATATTCCTGTCCAGTGCCGTCCAGCTACGTATTATAGACCTTCGTCTTCTATACACAAGCCCCCTTCTCCTCTGTTTAAGGTGCAGTGGGTGGCGCCAAGGTTGCTATTCCCTCCAGCCCTTCCTGCATGGAGAAGAGCCAGCCAGGCAGTAGCCAGCACAGCTTGCCAGCCAAGGAGGAGCCTCCGAGGGTCGGGGAGGAGAAACCCAAGCCCCCTAAGGCCTCATCCAGAGTGGAGGATTGCGGTCTGGATAATGTGGCTCCTCGCAATGTCTCAGAGCATGTTGCCATCAGCAAGCCAGAGCCCCCTGTTACCACGGTGAGCAGAACGATGAATAATCTAAACTTGATGTTTGGATAGTTGTTTAAGAAATAAGATCTATGTTGCAATGTAGTCCAATAACTAGAAGTCCGCATCTGAATGGTTCTAATTAGTAGAATCTGTGTGTACACCTTTCCTCTCTCAGCCTAAACCTACCTGCATGGTGCAGCCCATGACCCATGCACTCCCTGCCAGCAACGAGCGCCATGAAGAAGAGGAGGAGAAGAAGGTGTGCCTGCCTGGTTTTACAGGATTGGTAAACCTCGGCAACACCTGCTTCATGAACAGTGTCATCCAATCCCTGTCCAACACCAGAGAACTCAGGGATTACTTTCATGGTAAAAGGCTTTTGTTTGGGTCTGAACTACATCATAAATACATTCAAATGAGTACAGGTTACATTATAATGCAATAAACAAGTCGACCAAATGCATCATTTATTGCACGGTGTTATTCTGCAGCCAAAGACGTTAGGTAACCTGTTGTGTTGCTAAGAAATATCAGGGTGGATTTTTTTCTTTCTCTGGGTTATTCTGGTTAAATTGGCGGCCTCTGCTTGCAGATAGTCCTAGTGAATTCTAACATGGACACAAAAGCGGTGGCAAGTGGCCCACAGGAGCAGATTTAATGAGGACTCTGGAACTTTCTGTAGTTTTTATGTGAATAGGCCCAAAGACTGTAGTTTGTGCTGTGGAAGCATTTAAAACATTAAAATAATTGCTGCCAAATCGAGGTCACTTTAGTACGGTGTATCAGGGCCATTGTAGGTTAACAAGAAAACAACAACAATGTACCAAGCCGGGGGGGGGGTGGTAATCCAAGAAAAAACTCACCAGAAAAAAGAATTTGAATATTCTCTGAGATTAAAGTCCCAAATTTGCAGACAGCGGCTGTCGTCACCATAAGGACACTACTCACCAGCTGGCGTTACCACGGTTCTGCAGTGTTTAACGGTGGCGTCTGTGGTGTAATGAGGTTCATACAACCTTGCAAAGTGAAGCAATGTGACAAATGAAAACAATTTCTCCACGTTTTCTTTTGGAAATGTGCAACTTAAATCTCAGAAATTGTGTTTTTCTTTTCTTGAAATTGTGACCCCCCCCCCTGCTGTTGGGAGGTAACGTTGGCTGATTAAAATACACGTATATAAAAATAGGAAGGACTATATGTATCTATTTTTTACAGTTATTATAACAATAACTAGCAGCAAACCCAGGGAGGAGCCATTCTTACAACGTGCACTAAGGCCTCTGCAATTTATTTGTTTTAAAACAAATGAAAGGTTTACTTGAAGAAGTTTTAGTTTCTGTGTTTTTAAACTTTTTGCTTGATTCCACATAAAGTCATTCCAAGGTAGTTTTACAGTGTTTATTTCCCATGTGTCCATGCTTGTCCGTCTGTGTTTGAGCTCTTATGTGATGTCTGGTTCAGTTATCTCACGGATCTTTCTGTGCCCTGGCAGATCGAGCATTCGAGGCAGAAATCAACTGCAATAATCCGCTGGGGACGGGAGGCAGGCTAGCCATTGGCTTTGCTGTGCTGCTCAGGGCCCTTTGGAAAGGAACACATCATGCCTTCCAACCCTCAAAACTCAAGGTATACAGAGATTTTTCACAACAAATATGGACCAAATCTTTGTTATTCGCTGTAGTTACCAACAACTGTTTTACTTTTGGAGGTGTTCTGTCTTTGACTGCTTCTTTGTTGTTTGTTTGCAACCTTGTAGGCAATTGTGGCCAGCAAAGCCAGTCAGTTCACAGGTTACGCCCAGCACGATGCCCAGGAGTTCATGGCTTTCTTGTTGGACGGGCTCCACGAGGACTTGAACCGCATCCAGAATAAACCTTACACGGAGACGGTGGACTCTGACGGGCGGCTTGACGAGGTTTATTGAAATGACAAACTTCCGTTCTCCTCACGGTGTAGTCGAGCCTGAGCCTGATGGTGTGTTTGATCTGTTGCTGCAGGTGGTGGCTGAGGAGGCGTGGCAGAGGCACAAGATGAGAAATGATTCCTTTATAGTGGACCTCTTCCAAGGCCAGTTCAAGTCCAAGCTTGTCTGCCCCATATGCTCCAAGGTAACACTAAATGTTTTACTCTCTTCAAGGTAAATGCTTTTGAATGTTTGCCTTGTTTTGGTGATGTCTAACCTACTTCCTTTCCCTCTTCTTCTTGCTCAGGTGTCTATCACCTTTGACCCTTTCCTCTACCTGCCTGTGCCCTTGCCACAGAAACAAAAGGTGCTCTCAGTTTTCTACTTTGCCAAGGAGCCTCATAAAAAACCCGTCAAGGTGAGATGAAGCAACCAGTCTCCACTAAAACTACTCGGTGTCAATTCACGATGCAATGCAGAAATGGGGCTTTGCTTTGTTTTGAGAAAATGTAAAGATGTCTTCCATGTGACCCACTCTCTAAAGCTTCATGGGTATGTGTGTGTCTCAGTTTTTAGTGAGTGTGAGCAAGGAGAACTCCAGCACTGCTGAAGTCCTCGAATCCATCTCCAGGAATGTCAGGGTCAAACCAGAGAACCTCAGACTGGCAGAGGTTTGTCAGGACTTCATTCTCCGACAGACATTTCTAATAACTTCCACATGTTTTCTGAACTCATTACAGAGGCTTTTTCCCGAATCGTTTTTTTCCCTAATGTTGACATTCAAATTCTAAATCATTTTTTGCATTTCTATTCATTCTTTTTAAATCGGGTATTTCTGCACAGTTGGAGGTATAGACATATAAAGTGGTGATGAAGTTGTATGTACCGGCTACAAACAGGCTCGGTAGTTAATAGTGTTATACTATTTGTAGAATTAAATCACGTACGACTGTTTCTGACGAATGTGATGGAAACCTTTCCAATAACTCCAGACCGTTGTTAAGTCCAAAGGTCACAAATGACAGATAAAAGACAGATGTATTCCTTTCCAAAATTCACAACATGTTTTTATCGAACCAAATATTCAGCTTCAATCCATACTCATTGGCGTTTAGCCTTTTCACTGCGGTCATGAAAACAGGTTTGCTCTCCTGCTTGCCTCACACAAAGGGAGGCCAACACTGACGAGTTATATTCATTAAAGGAAGTTTAATTAAATCAAAAAATACTCATTTAATCTGATGAATCACTTTAATGGATGTTGTTTGAGGATTTTCTTCTTTTAAAAAAAAAAATAAAAAAAATCTGACAACTGACATTCAAAGCTTCATTAGAACAACTCAATAGAAGCTCTGTATGTAAAACAATGACATTCAGTGCAGCCCAAACTCATTGAGTGTGTGTGAAACTCAATGGAATGCTGATAGATTTAGATCAATGGCAATCAGTGGTGGTCATTGAATACGGTTCACCAGCAGGAATGGAACCATGAGAGAGAACTTGACTAAGGACACTTGAGGACAAAACTGCACTTGTTTGTTTCCTCTCAGGTGGGGAAGAACCGCTTCCAGCGCATGTTCTTGCCGTCCCATTCCCTGGACATGGTGTCCTCCTCCGACATGTTGTTCTGCTTTGAGGTGCTTTCTAAAGACATGGCCAAAGAGAGGGTGGTAGTGCTCCGAGTGCAGCAGGTCATTATAAACACAAGTCCTACTTTTACATTTCTACAGCGTATTAAATACGTCAGTGTTTACAGGTATTGAGAGGGGTTTCTTTGCCCTCTGCTTCTCCTACAGAGACTTCAGGTCCCTAATATCCCCATCTCAAAGTGTGCCGCCTGCCTGAAGCCTCCAGTGTGTGAGGAAGACAAGCTGAAGCGGTGCACTCGCTGCTACCGTGTGGGCTACTGCAATCAGTGAGTTCTAGTCAAATGTACACTTGGGCATCTGTCATTTTTATTATTGCATTTAATCCATTAACTTTTCTATGAACATGTTAACTCCCCTCCCAGAGTGTGTCAGAAGACCCACTGGCCCAATCACAAGGGTCTGTGTCGACCCAACACGGAGAACGTGGGCCTGCCCTTCCTGATCAGCGTGCCGGAGTCCCGGCTCTCCTATGCCCGTCTCACCCAGCTACTAGAGGGTTACTCCAGGTACACTGTCTGTCCTCCAGTCCTCGGTGCTCATCATCATTTAGAATATAGTGTGGCCCACACGCATTCTTGTCAGGATAGCCTAGTAAGATGTAAGGAGAAGCCAGCAGCGTTACTGATTCCATATCTAAACACAGCCCAGGATACTAAAACACACAGTCGATTGTTGACAATCACAAAACACAGCTCATTCTGTTATTACCTGCCGTTTCGCTATTACAACATGGACAGAGCTGGTAGCAGTTAGCTGCTTTTTTTTATTTTGTCCATCTCACACTAGTGGAAGTGGAAGGAACATCTTTAGTCGGATGTCAACAAGTGCTGTTTCTATTTTGCTGCAATGAAAAATAAATATTCAAGTGATGCTTCTATCAGGATTATGATGGTGATATTTTATTTATGCATGCAAGTTCATCTTCTTTGAAGATATTAGATTCAGTATATACTATCATGCTGAGTTACGATTTGTCTGTGATTCGGGTTTAAACTAGATTATTTTATAAGCATACATTATTTATAAAACAGGACTTTTCACATCTTTTGAGCACTGAACACTTGTGGCAATTTATCTTCTCTATTTATCGGCATCAGGCAAGTAACATGTCACATCTACTAGTATATTCAGTAGAGATGAAAAAGATCATGTCAGTTCAAGATCACTGTAAGGAATCTGTCACTTAAAATGTAGTGACTGTTGATGTGATCGCCCCGATGTCTCTCTGTGGGCAGGTTTTCCGTCAACGTGTTCCAGCCTCCTTTCCAGTCGGGCAGGACATCCCCCGAAACATCCCAGTGCCGCGTTGACCTCCCCCCAATGCCAGCAGGCACTCCTGAGGGTCTTGGGCCAGGAGATGAGGCCGTGGGTGGTAGTGGTACTGTTGGAGCCGGTGAACTGGAGGCGGTGAGTCCTTCTCTGCTGCCTGAAGCAGAGTATGCTCAGGCCTCGGCCCTCCTCTCTGGGGACTCGGACTCCCTCTCCTCCTCCCAGACGTCCCTCTCCACCACGCGAACTGCCGATTCTGGATTTTCTGAGACAATCTCCTCCCCCTCCTGCTGTTCTCTGGACCCTCATGCTGAAAAAGAGACGTCATGTGAGAAGGCGGTGCGACCAGAAGGTAATATCATAGCTACCATTGGGCAGATGCTTCAGTGTTTCTGTGACGCTTATTTCTTGTCTCTACGTCCCATTGTTCCTTATTCTTTGCCACTTCATTGCAGCTGCAGTAACGGGGTATCAGCATCCAAGTGAATCAGCATCAGGTCATGCCATTCAGTTCTACATAGCTGTGCTGGACTCAGACAACAAGGAGCAGAGGCTGGATGAGAGAGGTATGGACAGAATATTCCTCAGCACTGATATTCAGTTAGATTCCCAGTCGTCCTGTTTCCATGCTCATAATTGTGTGCTCATTTTTAATGTTCAGTTTTTGTTGACACTGTCAGAGAGTTGTTGATCTAATGTTACTCTATAGTAATGTTAAAGACCATAGTTAGGGGTGTATTCCGCTATGTAACAATATGTAGAGAGGTTATCTCCTAACTGCTATAAGCTTATTCGCTGTAAGTCAAGTTTATTGATGCTGCACGTTTCAGTATTAAGGTAATTGTAAGTGCTTCACAAAAAACATCAAGAGGCAAAGTGCTATAGACATTATAGAAGGAAAGTCAACCTGTCGGTGCTTTTTATCCACCAACAGTTGTATTTTCAAATCAATCTTCTGCCAGGAAGCCCGTGTAAAGACCTCAGAGCTGAAGTGATGTGATCCACTTCCTTGATCTTAGTGAGGACTTGAGCAGCAGCATTATGAATCAGCTGCAGCTGTCTAATCAATTTCTTCGGAACACTTGTAAAGACACCGCTACGGTAGTCAAGTCAAATTAATATAAATTCAGTTTTTCGAAAGCTGCTGAGACATAAGTCGTTTAATCCTTTATATATTTTTTAAGGTGATAGTAGGCTGACTTTGAAATTCAGGTCTGAGTCCATGACTAAACCCAGATTTCCGGTTTGGTCTGTGGTTTTTAACAACCAATTTGAAGTTGAGAGCCAATGTTTCGACATTCCTTCTTGGCTCCAAAAACAACAACCCCAGTTTTCTGGCACATCCACTCGTTGATTTGTTCAATGCACTTATTCAGTGCTTGTATCGGACCATAGTTCTCTCATGATATAGTTATGTCAATTTGTGTGTGGTCTGCATAATTTTGGAAACTTATTTTGTTGTTTTCCACAGTGGAAGCATGTAAGCCTAGATGATAAACAGAAGAGGCCCCAGAATTGAGCTTAGGGGAACTCCTCATGTCATATTAGTCCAATCAGATGTGTAATAATAACTATAGACACAAAGTGGTCCCTGTCCTTTAAGGAGGATTCAAACCAGTTAAATACTGTGCCAGAAAGTCCCACCAGCACTGTTACTTAAGATTGTACTTATGGAAATAATTAAAGTCCAACACAACAGTGCGTTGTTTTTCTCCGTCCCTCCCCTTCCCCCTCTGCAGAGGACCTTCTGGGGGACCTCCCCGAGGACACAAAGCTGGAGCTGGTGTGGAAAAACAACGAGCGTCTGAAGGAGTACGTCCTGGTGAGCTCCAAAGAGCTGGAGTACGAGGAGGACCCTGGCTCTCTGAGTGAGACAGCCAGAGCGGGACACTTCACCCTGGAGCAGTGCCTCAACCTCTTCACAAGGCCAGAGGTGCTGGCACCAGAGGAGGCATGGTAGGCAGCTTTATGTTGTAATTACTGTCTCTAGCCTGTCTCTAGCCTGTCTCTAGCCTGAAGGAAAAAAAATACAACATTGCAGCAAATGTAACTTTTCTTCTGATCATATTTGCACGCAATTAAGTAAATAGTATTATGTATTTCCAGTTTGTAAATAATAAGTATAAAATATAAGTTATGCTGTGGAGGACTTAATGTATTCATTTTCTATTTTTTGCCCTTTAGGTTGAAAGATAACAGGACCTAGTCTAGAAGACTCTTTAATGTTCGGAAATGAGGCGCAAAAAGGTTTACTGAGAATAGTTTTGGTGCAGAACCTTTCTTTGTCTGTTTTAGGTACTGTCCAAAGTGCCAGCAGCACCGAGAGGCCTCCAAGCAGCTGCTGCTGTGGCGTCTGCCCAACGTTTTGATCATCCAGCTCAAACGCTTCTCCTTCAGGAGCTTCATCTGGAGAGACAAGATCAACGACATGGTTGACTTTCCTGTCAGGTAAATGCACAGTGAACAAAGTCCACGTTCCACCACATATCGATCTGCAGCACACCGCTTATTTACATTTACTTTAAAGGAACAGTGTGTAAGATTTAGTGGCATCTAGTGGTTTGTTGCAGCTTGCAACCAACGTAATGCCCCTCAGCTCACCCCTCCCTTTCCAAGCGTGTTGGAGAACTACGGTGGCCTTCAGGGAGAGAGTTAGGGTGGGTGGGTAGTTGGAGGAGCTCATCCTGACAGAGAGAGCAGAGCAAACACGTGCTGCAGCTTGATAATAAATAACATTAAAAAGCACCAGTAATGTCGTTTCTTATCAATACAACAATATTTAATATTTAATCATCAGGGTCCGTTTAATACCGGATTCCAAAACGCATCCCAACCTTCAGATAATGTAAAAATGTGAAAGCCTCTCTCTAGAGCCGGTGTCTTTTCTGGCAGATGGAGGACTCCGTGGAAGATGACCTGCTCCCTCTGTAGATAGAAATGGCTTGTTCTAAGCTAACGCAAATCACTACGCTTCTTAGTTTCAGGTCATTATGCACTAATGAAAACATACTTTTGCATATTATATTCCATTTCTGCCAATTAATCCCCCTAAATGTTACACACTGTTCCTTTAATGTAAAAAGATGTTGATGATTTTACATGCAAAACGTTAAACCCTCATGCAGTACTATTGTCAATGTCAATTTGACAACACAGCCTCTAAAATCATCCTGTCTTGTAGGAATCTGGATCTCAGTAAATTCTGTATTGGCCAGAAGGATGAGATGCAACAGCCCCCTGTCTACGACTTGTATGCTGTCATCAACCACTATGGAGGAATGATAGGAGGCCACTACACGGCCTACGCTCGGCTGCCAAGTGACAAGAACAGCCAGCGCAGTGATGTTGGTGAGTCACGGAGGTTTATTCCCACCTGTATATGTAGTTCTGAGTTTTTCCTCCTACCTGTCAACCACCCTGTCTCCAACCTCTCTTCCCTTCCTCCTCTACCCTCCCTGTCCCTCAGGCTGGCGTCTGTTCGATGACAGTACGGTGACCATGGTGGAGGAGAGTCAGGTGGTGACGCGCTACGCCTACGTCCTGTTCTACCGACGACGAAACTCACCCGTGGAGAGGCCGCCGCGCTTCCTCAGGCCCGAGTCACCCACTTCTGCAGGAGCTACTGCCAGCCAGGTGAGGGCGCCACAACACTAAGAGAGAGAGGATCACACATAGAAGGGCTGTAGTGGCCAAGGTTAAGCTTCTAGCCAAGGTTTAAATATCCCTTGGCACACTTATTCAGGCTTTGAGGGAGAAGTTAATCCCTGATATTCCTTTAATTTTCATAATTTTACCCCGTACATGCATCACGTTCTGCTCGCAACATTTCTGGTGATCAGAATCCAATTCACCAGGTTACTAAAAGCATCACTAACTTTATGATGCCTGCAAGTGTGAAAGTGTAGTCAAGGCTCAAATGGATTAGCTTTGGGGCGAAGTGTTTTGGGAAAATAACCAAACTGCAGCATTACTATTCACGCAATGCAAGTGTTCCTCACCTGTGACAATGGGATTCAAATAGTTTGCCGATGCATCCCAGTAAAGTGAGGGCGTCACATGTGTTTGTTCTACATGATGAAGAGTCAGATTGTTCCTGCCTTGTTGAAAATGACTCCAAATACTTCACCAGACGTTGTGCATTTTGAAAGTATGAAAGTATGTATTTGAATGCAACAAAAACTCCAAAGTGTTAACAATCCGCCTGTCATGGGGTTTGGGAAATTGATAAATGTGTCTGCGACTAAACAGGAATTAGCAGTATTTGTTGGGTCCTATGAGAGAAGCCCAAGTGTCTCTTTTCAATTAGTGTTGACAGGAGCTCCTGCTGTGAGGTGCGTTAATAACTACAGCCCAGTGGGTTCATGATGGAGAGATTCTTCACTTAGGTAGTCGGTTCATTTTAGCTCAACAAAGCTCAGCCGTCAGGCAGCATCAGCATCTTCAGATGCTTAATTGTTTGATGCTTCAGCGGAGTGCGCTGCTGATTCCTGTTCAGTCGGTGAGTGCGAGACAGCTGTGAAAGGTGCTCAACATCTGCTCGTCTCTATGGAGTCGAGATGTTACACTGCAGAGCGCGATCTCTTTCACTCTCGATGTCTCCGTTTTCTGTATCCAGATGAGATCGTACTGTCTCTACCGAAGTTAAACAAATGCTGTGCTCTATTTTTGAGTTACGTTTTTTTATCACATAGGTTGTCAGATGATGATACTGAGTCTGTATGTGATTCTATGGGATAAAAGGGATGAATGGGTCACCTGTTAAACCATAGATTCACTTCTTTTTAGTTATTTCAAGTGTAATAACGTCTCTATCAGTTTTGCAGCAAATGTTTTTAAGTCCACAGTCGACGTACGCCTTAACTATTCTTTCTGATGTGTATCATGTTGGTAAGCGTATTTGGTAAAACCCTCATCTTACCATGGGATTTGGCAGGAAAAGGCTTGAGGAGATAAGCTAAGATGTTCTTGTACTTTTGATGAACTCAACTGTGCGTTTTAACTTATGCGATTTTACTCCTCACTTAACCGCCCCATCATTTGAAAAGCAAGCCTCTCAAACTGTCCCAGTTTGTCCCTAAACTATCACCAGAGAAAGCATGTGCTTAGCTTGTTACACGTCAGCGTTGATCTGAAACTGTGGGGTAGACTGGCTGAATGTTTCTGAATGTAATCATAGCATTTGTTAGACAACGCCTGTTCCCAGAAGCTGACACCGGTTTCCGCCAATCGCAGGCCTCTCTAATTTGGCGGGAACTGGAGGAAGAAGAGGAGGGTCTTGACGAAGGCCCCCGCGGACTGTCCCGCTCGGCGCCGCGGAGGCGTCAGACGCCGAGGGACCGAGCCGAGGGAGACGAAGGGTCGGTGCGACGGCACCGCAAGCAGAAGACGTCGGACTATCCCGACGACGACTGTGTGCGCTATTTTGTTCTGGGCACCTTGGCAGCCGCGTTTGCCCTGTTCATCAACTTGGTCTACCCTCTGCTTAGCAAATCCAACTGGACCTGAGCGGGGGCTCGTGTGTGACTTTCATTCAGAAGTATGAATGTGAGGTTTGATAGGAACATTTGGAAGAGGCACTTTAAAGTTTAACACGTAACCGCTCCTCTTATGGAACAAACGAGTGAGTCATCCGTCGGTCTTCAGCGAGGAGAATGATTCTACACAACACTACATCACTTTAAGCGTTTGTATAACTTTAGATGGCTTAACCCTTTAAAATACTTTGGGCACTACTAGGGATGCACCAATCAGACCGTTTCAGTCCTGATACCGAGTACCGATCCCTCACCAGAGTTTAATATATGAGCTGTATGCCTCACTGTGTGGAACAGACTGGCATCGTTCTTTATATGCGTCAGGCTTAAATTAAGCATTGATATCCTAAGTTTGTAAAACAAAATGTAACGAATACATACATAGATGTATATGTACTGAATTTTTATTAATACCATAAATTGTACACAAGCTATTTTGTAAAAAATGAAATAAAATCGTCAAATGTAAAAGGAGTTAAAATTCAAGTTTAACCCTTTTTAATGAAGCAACACATTGGTGAAGTGTCGGTATCGGTGCGTCCCTACGCAATACATTCCACTGAGAAAATGTTTCAGTTAAAGCTGCAGTACAATTATACCATCAGCACAGGGTACAGTGTAAACTATTCACATCACTGCGTCTATGCATTGAATTGAATTGTTTCCGGTTTATGTGTGCTTTTCAACAAGTTTGCAGGTTTTTTTTGTGTCGCGTTTTTGGAAATAGTTCTCAGATGATGAGCTCTGACATCCTTACAGTTAGATTATTCCACGTGGGGTGGTAAGAGGTTCTTATCCATAGTCGGTGTATTACCACACACGGAAGCAAAGCAATGTACTGCTGTGGACGTGGGCAGCAGCAAAACATATGTTAGCTACCAGTTAAGATGTACAACAGCCCTTTTACAAAGGGAACTGAAGCCATTATATCCATCTATGCTCTCCTCAAAGACACCGGAGTCCTTTGGCATACAGTACACAGTCACTTTACCAGGTAGAACACAGGAGGTGTTGGTCTACATCCGCCTCAACCTGTTTGTGTGACTTTGTTGAATAAGAACATAAGAAACATCAAAGTCACACAGCAACACAAACTAGCTACTAACCTGCTAGCAACTCCAGAGTTCTTTGAGGTAAATACTGTTGTTGTCAAAGGAGTCCAGTAGATAACATCTTCAGTTACGTTTAGCTGCTGCCTCTGTCCTCAGCACTTGATTGCTTCTGTGCTGTGCTGGTGTTTCTGTCTGCTTCTTCAAGCTGGGGACATGCTGACAGTCACCTACTGTTGATAATACACTTCCTGTAGATGAGTACCCCATACAACCCATAATGCAAACTATCCCTTTAATCCCCTACACTAATATGTAACCACCGAGCTGTATTTTTATTCACTTTAGAAACCTTAGTTTGACAAAAAACAAATCTTAACTCCATTTCCCAGAAGGCAGTGAGTTGAGGTTGAAAAGCTGGTTGAAAGCTCCGGAAGAGGCTAACAAATGGACCTTTTTAGTTGAGACTATTTTCCTGAAACAAACCGTATAGTTGTACAGTAATGTATCTGACAAATGACAACATTTGAGTCCAAAGGGGAACTGATGAAGCCAGTGTCAAAGGCCTCCTTTTGTTTTATTTGCACTACACTTTAAAGAGAATGAAATAAAGACGACACGTTGAGTGGAGTATGTGAGAAGAGGCACTTCAGCTGTGACTCCTTTCAAACGTTCTTTCATGAAGCGAAGAGAACTCTTGTCATTTTTGTGTGACCAATGGCTGTTGCCTTTTTTATGTCTTTAAATTATACAGAAAGCGGTTTATGGGCCTTAGAGTTGCTGTTTGCCTGCAGCCACCGTCATGTTTTTAAAAGGTCTAATATGTACTGCAGTTCACTGTATTCTGTTTGTTCTTTTGTCTTTATTTTCCATGATGTCGTTATAGAAATGCCTGTCAAAGTCAGTGCTTTTAGTTGCTTTTCATGTTGCATCTCGAAGCCATAGCCATAGGTGAGGATTTATTATTATCAGGATGAAATGTCGTAAACAACTTATGTTTTTTTTAAGTCCTACATAAGATGAGAAATGTACCGACAATGCAGTCTTAAACTAGGAGCGTGCAAATATTAAGGAATTACCGTCCACCTCTGAATGTAATGGTTTTCAATGTTTCTCTGTTCAGACATTCTTTATTAGTGATGTAATGTTGTGGATGATTTTATTGATCGGCAGTTTGAAACAAGTTAAAACACCATCAGACTTTAAGTCTTAAAGGCTTCCTGAGACTCCAAACTGTCTGTAGATCCTGTTTTCCTGAGTGTGTGTGTGTGTCTCAGGGAAATCCTCCTGGCATCGAGGCGGCGTAGAGCGACCTGCGTTTGCCTTAAATGCTCTGCAAAGCTCAGAGCACCGTCTGACTGTGTATACTTGACTCAGATATATGCAAGGTTCTTTATGAGATATGGCTTTGTACTCGACATACGCTGCTTAGTAAACTATGAAATGTCACTGTCCCCAACACAAACAGCAGTAGTGGAATCAACCGATGTTAGACTCTGTCCAGACGGGTGTAGTTCAACTAACTCAAAGGGGTTTCTGTTTTTCAACCTGTAAATGCTGTGGGGGTTTTGTTGAGCTGACTGGATTTAAATGGAACGGACTGAAGAATGAAACTGTGTGTGTAGTCTGCTATGAACTGTTAATGGTTAAGAGTGACTTGTTTTTAATCAGGAACTTATTTACTGAGTTGTTAATTGCAAGTACACTATTTGAAGGAAACATTTTAATTTCCCTGCAATAATGTATCTAGATTCCTCCATCTAAATGCTGCTTTCTGAGATATATATCTATATCTATATCTATAGATAGATAGCATTGTACTCCTTTTAGAAATAAAATCTCCATCTGTTTATAGTCTGTATGCATGTTATTTATCATTTTCTCCAAACAGAAACTCTCCCAGAAGACTAACCCAGCGACATCTATCATTAACCATGGTTTATTTTTTAACAGGCCTCTAGCCAGTCGCTGTTTGGGACCGACATGGATCCCGAGGGACCGCCTACGCTGACCCCGGAGGTCGCCGCTGACCTCTTCGCCCACTCAGGAGAGTGCGCGGCACCATCCCACAGTAACATGGAGGAGGTGGACTAGTTGCGGAGAGGACCGAAGGGAATCCAGAGCCTGGTGATCTAGGGAAGCTCCTCCTCTGCTAAAGACACGTCTGTGCTCACTAACAACAGTCATCCGAGTCTGAACGGTGCAACGCTGGAAGATCTGGAGGGGGTCTTTGAGGATTCTGAATGCACTCACTTGTGAAAGAGCTTCAGATGCACATAGGCATGAACTAACTAGATACATCCTTGATATACTCACATAAATATACTTACCCATTGATACAAAGTTAATACGCTAGTTATACTCATTCAGTGTACATAGTGACACACACACACAGACAGAAGCAAACACTTCTGTAATGTCTGAGCTCCTGTGAGCAGCTCATTATAAACTATTGCTGAGACAGCAATTCATCCTTAACCATCTAAGAGGAGACCGGTGGTTTTATGAGGCTATTGCCCGGGTTGTGTTTGTGGCAGGGTATTCTGTAACCTGTATTGGAATTATAGCAACTGATGTAAAGAAAAACAATGTTTGACGGGTGCTAACCTGCTGCTTTTTTATTTTATTTTTATTTTTAAATATGGAGGGCACACCGCTTCTGTCTTTTGTCGCTTTATAAACTTCCTTTGGCTTCTGTTGCGTATTCTTATTTTGTTTTTGTACTTGTTTAGATATTTGATCCTGTGGATGCAATCGTCAAAGGCTTCAGTTTAAACAGATGTGTATGACCTGCATGTTCATACAGACTGTAACCCAAGCCCATGTTAAATATCCGCTCCCCCGGAAACTTTCATTATTTCAGTTTTGCGTGAGTTGTCCAGTCTCACCCCCTCCTCTCCTTTGTAATAGACTGCGTATATGTGGGGCTTGTTAATGCTGCTGTGGATAAATATAAATGGTTAATATAAATAAAAACAATTTTGAGAACTGTTTACATTAGTGGATTTGTTCCATTTTTACATATATAAAAATAAATAAACCGGTCAATAATACCAATATATTAATAATTAAAATGCAAGTACAGTAACAAATGTATAAGAGCAGAAAGGGTAATAGGCACTTTTTTACAGCAGATATGTTTTACTTGTGCACAGGTGTAAATAAAATGGATTCCATCTCGCTGCTTCACTTTCAGGCTCCTAGCTGTCGCACTGTTATGACGTAATGCCACATTGAGTAGAACAGAGCTATTGAACAACGTTATTAGTTAAAACCGGATGTGCTTCTCCTTACATGACGAATGTTTGCTGTGAGCAGGTCTCTGTAGCGCCTGGAACTGATTGCACAAATTAGCATTACGTTTAAGGATAATGAAGGGAGTTCTTTACATTAAATAGAAATAAACGGATATGTAGGCGAAGATGGTTACGGTGTTTAATGTTAAATATAAAAAATGATAGTTCAGGTGTTTGCTTTTTTTAAACTTTGGAATGAGTTGCAATATTGCTGAATATCATTAAGAAAAATAATTACAATATTTTAATTAAAAAAAGATTGACAGTGTATCAACTTGAGGACTAATTAGACGGAATGACCCAAAACACCTGTGTGGATAAGACGCTACTTTGACATTAACATCTCTAAACATCGTACAGCACCGGAAGATGGCGCTCTTTCCTCTGTCTGGTAGACTAGTGTGCCGCTATTGAGCCGCAGAAGAAGAAGAAGGAGGCGGTAGCATGGAGGAACGAGGAAGTAACTCACCGGTAAATTACAATGGCAGCTGAGCCGGTTCGCTGGCAAGTTTTAGTTGACATATTAACAAACCAGTAACTGTCGTTAATGGCGGAGTTGGGGGAGAGCAGCGACCGCGAAGCTGAAGAACATGACGAGACAAACGGCAGGAATGTCGATGAGCCCGTGATTGGGACCGCAGGTGACCCCGCGGGGACAGTCCCTCGGGGTCTGTGGACCTCGAATCACGACCAGAGGAAAAAGCTGGTCCTGCACATCGACCTCACTCAACAACACCATCCTGGTGTCGGACACCGTGACGGGCCAGGGGCCAGCAGCTGCCCTGGACTACTTCCTCTCGACCGTCACCTGGGGAAAGATGAGCACACAAGGTGAAGTGGAAACGTTACTTTAACGTATCAAAATATACGAGGACTCTGTGTTTGCAGAGTCAGCGAGGCTATTGCTCCTGTTTGTTACGTTAAAGTACCGACAAGCTGTCAACCAATTCCCCCAAAATATATAGTCAGATAAAATAGAGATTTTTCAAATGGAATTGGAATAGCACATGTGGGGAATGGCAGGTCATTCTCTTTATTTTAATGTGGAAGTATTATTTTATATGTATTAATAACGTATTTTACGTAAATTGTGGGGCTGAGCTACATGGCAAAAAATCTCACATTATTGGTCATTTCATATCGCGATAACTACTGGCCTAAATATCACCATGTAGTTTGTTTTCCGGTAATTCCATGATTACTCCTGTGTGTATTATTACTTGGCAAGTGAAAAGTACTGGGTATTTTGTAATTTAATTATTAACTTAAGTCCAAAATAAGATAATAATAATAATAATAAGTATGTGGTTGTTATTATCAATAATAGACGACATTATTGTGTATTACGATATCTCTTCTGATTTCATCACGATATGATGAATTATCATATTGAATGTTGGCCCAGCCCTAGTCTAGATCCATTCATTGGAGACTTGATCTGATTGTTAAAGCATTTTCAAATGTGTTTTTCTTCCACCCTTCCTGTGTATGCTCAGGCTGCCTCAATCATCACAGACCATGGAGAAATGGAATCATGAATTCCATTGACAGAAAACATCCTCTGCTGCATTTATATCCTATAAGAGATATTAAATACCTCTGAGAGCCACAGAACAATGTGGTGGAAATGAACCTTTTTAACCTCCCTGTGAGAAATAACAGTGATGAGAAAACTCTCAAATGTCTTGACACTTAGAATAATTCAGCTGAATGGATAGAGCTCTTTCCCCACGTATGGTTCGGAGGTCTAACAACAAAGAATAGTTTAACAGAGTATATATGCACATTCCCCCCCCCGCACTTGCATCGTCCACTCATTACGTGATGTTTAGTATGTCTCAATTTAAACCACTCCCAAACCCCTTCTTCTCCTCAACCTCTGTGCAGGAAAGTGGGAATGGCTGAGCGACGCGACCTCCCTGCTCCCACCGTGCGACGGTGCCGTTAGTTACTACTCTCAATTTGGACGGACGGCGGGTTTCACCTCTGCTGCGGGGCGACGTTTCCGCGGGATTCTGGATGAGCATCTGGATCTGTTCCGCTGGCCCGAGGGCACCAAGGCAAGCATCATATAGGAGAAGAAGAAGGCCGGGTGGAAAGTGTCTGTATAAAGTCTGACTCAAGTTCAGACATAATTTCTCTGTTTCCCCATTTGTCTTTGTTGTTGCAACCAGTATAGCATCCTTGATCCCTGATGTGGATACGTGTTACTGACCGCTGCCTCACTCTGTTCCCTGCAGGCAGACAGAGTGCTGTCTGTCAAAGGCGAGGGTGGACAACTGTACCACTGGATCCTCCCCTCCTTCTTCCAGCTGCTCAAAGACCTGGTGCAGGAAGGGAGGGAGTTCGCTGTCGTGTTCCGCACGTTTGGAAGCGACCTGCCTCGTGTGCTGAGTGCTGTATCCAGAGCGCTGAACGAAGGGGCTCATCCGCTGTTCCCAGATCTGCCCGATCTCAAGGTAGAAGTAGAATCGCACTTATTTATTATGATGCCACGAGTTTAAGTGAGACGTACAGTGGTGTACAATGTTCTTTTCTTTTAAGTTAACAACATACTGATGTCTAGCGGATAGTTTGGGGTGATTCTACCAGGATATAGTATTGTCTGGTTTACTTATGCAGTATCGCCCAATATCTCACACACACTGCCTGAGTGGACTTTAAAGCAACACCTCTATCATCAGACAGCCCTTTCCGATGGGGAACCGAAGCCGTTCTAGGGTTCTGCAGTGAGTGTGTGTGTGCTGATGTGGGTTGGTGACTTCCAAGAGTTTCTCTTGAAGAGCAGGGCCCTCTTCGCCTTTCAACACAGACCCTCCCAAGGAAGCAAACACTCTCTCAGGGTTTTGTACCTTGCTTGTTAGCTCGCTGGAGTGGAAGACATTGATTTTGAGCGGAGAGGGGAATGGACGGATGGCAGGAGGTGGAAGAGATGTCAGAAAGAGAGGCTGTCTAAGTGAGCTGTCTGGTGGAGAGCACAGAGGAAATGTTATTCAGTCTCCTGTCACATCATGCTGTTCATATATTGCTTTTGACAGACCTTCTTCACTCACAGGACATAATGTGATTGTTCAGTTTCTGAACTTTGTTTTCATGACTCAATATCGTTGTCAAGTCTTGGAGATGGATGCAGTGGGATAAACAGCCCCATTAAAGTGGTACACTAAGTCTCGGGGTTGTTGGTTTTTATCATAAAGGAACCGTGTGTAACATTGGGGTTAGTTATTGGCAGATATTGAATCAAATATTCATAACTATATTTTAATCCGTGTGTTTTCCTTTGCTTAGAACAAGCAGTCCAGAACAGACGCGCTCTAGAGAGGCTTTCACGTTTTTACGTTATTGAAGGTTGTGATGCGTTCTGAAATCCGGTATTAAACGTGCCCCGGGGATAAATTACTAAAGATCGTATATTGATAAGCCCCGACCTTACTGGTGCTTTTTATTAGTACTTTTGAATGTTTTGATGTCATTTATTATCACGCTGCAGCGCTTTATTTGTTTGGAATAGTTTTTTATATCTATTTAAAATAAATGATTTAGTCATGTAGAAAAACCAAGTATTGATAAGATGAGCTCCTATTTGTACTGAAGAAAACTGTCTCCCTGAAGGCCACCGTAGTTCTCCAACACGCTTGGAAAGGGAGGGCTGAGCTGAGGGGCATTATGTTGGTTGCAACCTGCAACAAACCACTAGATGCCACTAAAACGTTCTAAAACACTCTTACTTTAAGTCAACAACCACGGACTCCATGTTTATTATGAACTAACATATGTTGTTCTTATCGTCTGTGTGCTACAGCTTCTTCACGGTTTAAGCACTCGGGTGCCACGTCACTTAACGTAGCTGTGTTTAACATTGTGAATATTAACTATTATCTATGTAAAGATATGATGGAAGAATGATGTCCCTCTCTCTCTATGTTGTTATCTGAGCTTCCCCTGGCTCTGTGGACATAGCTGGGCTGGCCCTGTGTGCTTCTGGCTCATTTTTATAATATATTATCATTTATTTTTTTAAATAATATTTATATACGATACATTTTTGTATATGACTTGTTTTTTTACACCACAATAGTCGAGTCCAGAAATATGTATCCCTTCCATGCTGTTTGAAGCCACAGAATGCCAGAGTTGTGTTTTATGTAGCTTTTAAAAAAAACAGTATTTTATGTCTGAGAAAGTTTAAAGCTGATATCACAATTAATGTAGGTCAAGTCTGCCAGAGGCCAGGCATTAATGAGAAGTATCATTTCACAACAGTTTGAGTTCAGATCGACTCTCCCTCTCTGACTCTTCTTGTCACTCTCGGCTCAGTTAAAGGTGAATATGACTCCAGGCGAGATCCGCTGCAGCAAGAGGGGAACCGTCCTGAGCCGAGCCGAGGAGCGCGTGTCCACTCGGGATGGAGACCGAGGCCTGTACCAGTACTTGAGCTCAGTCCGGAGCCTGGGGGGCTTTCAGGACCACTTTAAATGGTATGCGTAGCACTCACTCAAGCCATCATGGATGTGGGTTTTGTGGCGTCCATCCTCGATCCATCTGTGCCCGTTTCCTCGTTCAGGTGGGCCAGTAATGACTTCTCCATCCGTGGGGGGAAGCCGCTGTGGGTCGACCCCTTCGACCAACACGTCCAGCACATCTTCATAGACGACAACATACGACAGAACGACGAGGATACCATCGTTCATCCCAAGGTACCATCACATCTTTTACACCAGGTTATTGTAGAATACATCTATTGGACACCATCAGCATTGGAACAGCATTCACAGGTGTTTAGCACATCTTAAATTGACTCCAAACTAATAAGTGCTATTTTCATTTTCCTCATTTTCTTTCCACTCTAGAAATGATTCAGCGTTTTAATTAGAGCCATGTCAACACGTTTTAGTGTCATTTCTTTTCACGTTCAGAATCTCAGCGCTCTGTTACGTAACCACTGAGTCGATGGGAAGGACCTGCAGCGGATGTGCTGTTTCCTTCTGGTCATCTCCAGCTGTTTTTAAAGGAATCACATCTGTCAGTGGATAAAACCAGGCAGTCAGAGCGCACCATGATCACTCATTAGAAACACATAAATGTACTCTTTTAGCATCACACTTGTTCTGTGTATAATGGGCTAGAATTGCAACTTGGTCTATAATGAATGAACAGCAAGGGGTTCTGACCCCCCCTTTGTTTTTGCTGTAATCATGCATTAAGCTTATTTGTCTCTCTAACTGCCTTTAGACAGTACAGGTTAGGTTTTCCTGGTGTTCCGCAGTTGATCACCAGAGCCATCAACTGCAGGAGCAAACGTTGTTTGTGTCCTCTTGAACACAGCTTGGCTCTTCCTCACAAATGACTGACCATGTGGTTTCTCTCATGTCCTTGCAGAGCAAACCCAATGAGATGAACGGCCGTATATTAAGTCACTTACTATGTGCGATGATGGAGTAGAAATAAAAAGAAAAGGGCTGTATTCATATCAAATTATCTTGTCGACCGACACATTGCCAACAACTCAAAGTCAGTATTTCAAAATATATCTACTTACTTTCTGTAGATTGACTTATGGACTCGTCCTTTCTCCCCGTCGATGGAGTTATGTTCAGAATGTTTGTTTTATTTCTCTATATTCATTCAATTATTTCGTGAGGGTCTCTATCTATATATTTCATATCTATATATAGCATATATTTAATATAATAGTCATTTTTCCCATGAGACATTGTGACGTGTCATAGCAGGGAAAGCACAGGTGTTACTGATGGCATTAACGAAGGCTCCGTTCTGTATAAATGAACCATGAAATTAATTCAGTAAACCATGACCGTGTTCTATTCAAGGACCCTGAAGCAGCTAAATGGAATTCAGCCATCGTTCATTTCATTGTTTACACCTGTGCTTCAGCCACAGCGACGTGTCAACATGTCCTCTGTGAAAAGGATTCAACACTTCAGGGTCCCTGCAGTTTGACCTTAAGGAATACACACGACTTCCTTTTAGCTTCTTTAATCAAAGATTGTAAGTCCTATTCTTTACTAAGGCCTGTGTGTCATAACAACCCATCATCTCCCAACATGCACTGTAATGTCTGGTCCATCTCTGCTTACATTCTCAACTTGTGTGTGTGTTTGTGTGTTTGTGTTTTTCTCAGATTTTCCTGGACCCAGGTGGCGCTGAGACTCGCACAGCCAGCACCTCTGAGCTCTATGACATCACGCTGGTCCAGACCGACCTCCTGCAGGCCATTTCTCAGCCGAGCTACTTCACTCAGCGCGTCCACATCTGCCTGGAGAACTATGAGAGGAATCTCCAGCAGGGGGCAGGCTAGAACACAGTTCACCTCTATGTCCATGTGTCTGCACATGAAGACCTGCAGTTTAGGGTCCCATGAACCCAGACACCACAATCCCAACACGGACGGAGGATGCAGACACAGCAGACTGTAGGTGGGGCTATGAAACACAAAGGCTGGTGACTTGTTGAAGGACCGGAGTTCATAAAACCACGAATTGAAGAAGTTTTCATCTGGAGGAAGATTACAGAAATAAATATGCAGACAAGGAAGGATCCCAGTTATTATGGAACAATGGCAGGTAGATGAGGAGTTCCCTCTCAAACGGTTCAAGTGCTGCGAGCATTGTATCTGCTTCAGGAGAGCAGTAACGGGATGTCAGATTAAACAGAGGGCACTTCACAAATATGTACTGAGGTCAACCACCACAAAAAAAAAGTGTTTTTGACTTAATGAAGCACTTAAGTGGCCAGGCCAGACTCTTTGATTGCATCAAAGGCTCTGTAACTAATCATGCCACGGGATAATTGCCCCAACTCTCAGAGATTAGTGTCAGACGGCATGATTGGGGTCAGGTATGGTGAAAAGCCCTTCCAGCGTTGCGTTACTTGGCCAGCCAGTAGAATCCACCAGGGTTCTATGCTCCAGCTCTTGGTTTAGGCGTCCTCAGGGTGGGACGCCTTCCTGTAGCTTCGCCCTTTGGATGGTTTAACTTCCAGTGTTGGCCATCGTCTGCATTCTGTACATCCACTTAGAAGTGAAAGGTAATTCTTAAACTGAAAAAGTATCCATACCCATGATGCATTAGTCTGAGCAGTTGATATAGAATATATATGGTGAACACTGATATCTATAGACGTATCATTAGGTTGAACCTGGGTTTTGGATGTTTTTAATATTAGTTTGAGAGCATCCTTGTGTGACACATTCAATAAGTTGAATGTGTTTGGAAGTTATGGTAATCTTTTGCTTTTAAGGGTTTTAGGATTTATTTATTCTTAAGCTTTCAGGGAGATTTTTAATATCCATTTTTTTTTTTTTTTTTTCCTCAGGTCAAAACGTAGAGAGACGAAAATGAGAAAATGACTGTAATGCAGGTTTAACAGTGGAGTGATGATACCAGTGATATGCACAAGGAGTTCCTGAACTGGAGAACATGCACGTGAATACAGTGGTCAGACTAGTGCAGATCTAGGCCGGGTGTGTCTTTAACGGCCACTGCTGTATAGTGTGATTGAATGAAGACACCCCCCCCCTGCAGCCGTTTTGCTGCAGCAGAATGTGAGATCAGCCTACACACGAGGGGTCACATGATTCCTTCGATTGAGATAAATATGCAAAACACAAAATGCTAGACTCAAACTAAATCCAAACATCTGTACTAAAGTATGCCATACATCACGCAGTAGGTTCGTCAGAGCATCACAACATTGAATATGTAAAATGATCTTTATGATATAATGCCATCAAATGGTTACTACTTCTCATCAAAACAGTCTGCAGAGGTCATTATTGTACAAGTAGCGATGAGAATCTAAGATTTGTATTTGTAATGATATGGAGAGCAAGTATGACTTTAACTGTTGTTACGCATTATTGAAGACGCCAAGCCTCTGTTAGTTCAGTTACTTGTAAGCTGCAGTAATGCTGAAAAACAAGGAGCAATGCGTTATGATCGGTAGGCTTGGTAATAAGCATTGAAGCTAATAATTACTAAGTTAATATGAGCTTGCGGGAGGACTGAGTTTTGCACTTTGTATGTAAAGATGGCATTTAGTTGTTGCTCAGCTTGGCTCTTCACATGAGGAGCTTTGCAACACTCCAACTTTCCAGAAGCAATTGCAAAATACTTTGATATTGTTCCTGAACGCATCATCCACGTCACGTGGTTACCATGGACTCTGATGCTGCCACAACGTGCATCACTTGAAAACTGTCGTTTATTTATTGTTCTGATGGTAAATGTTTCCATTTGCTGTTTAATAAATTGCTGTTTTCTGTTGAACTGTTTGGTGTTTTGCATAATTACAACTTTGTGTATTTAGAGGTAAACGGTTAGGCTTTATTACTGTGTGTGTGTGTGTGTGTGTGTGTGTGTGTGTGAGAGAGAGAGGGGGAGAGGTCAGGTCCACTGGATTAATTAAAGAAAGTACAAAGGGTGGTCAGTGCATGCATTAGTCTTCGTTATATGTTGTAATGAACATTAAAAACATCTGTAATACTTCTCTTCATGCCGTTTCAAAGCTAATATCCAACATGAACACATTTCTCAGCACCCTGATGAAGATGTGCTGGTGCTCTCCTAAAGCCTTCGTGTAATTGACTGCTTCATTACGACAGCGGTCAGACACATTGCGCTCCGTCAGGCTGAGTGTGAGAGACGATGGCGTCGCTGCTGGAGATTGACCGAACATTTGATGGTTTACTTACAAAGCAGACGCGTCAGCAGTGACAGCCGAGGTGACTAGAAGAATGGCTTTAGTTCTGTGATGTTCTACTTTGCTCTGATCTGTCAATCCTTAGTATGTACAGTGATACCACAGTTACACGTATGATAAACGAGTCATAGAGTCACACACACTCTATCCTATCGGTCATCTTTCCCAGTTAGAATTTGAATTACTGCTTCCTCCCACCTGTCCCTCGAGTGTGAAACATCACTTATTTTATTTTCATTAAAGAATTAAACTGCAATGTTTATATAATAATAAATATTGTATCGCACCTTACATGCAGAACAAATAGCAATAGAATTCAATGCACATACAAACGGGGATAACACTTGATATAAAAAGATACAAAATCAATTAATATAAAAAGAGGAAATAGAATGCATAACATAAGTTGAAAAATACCCCCCCAAAAAAAGCCAGTATAGCCTGTAGTACCATTAAACTGACAGTGTAATATGCTTTTGTGGATCCCTGGTGGTTCCCTCAGACCACATGAGGGCAGCAGCGCCGCTCCGGGGATACACCCTCCCTCACCTTTCAGAGGCAGCATCCTTCCTCTTCAGGTGAGCGCGGACTCACCTGATACCGCAGCGGGCCCCGCCATCTGTCGCTAAACCGCGCGACACAAAAGCAGCAGCGCGTGCGTTTGACATGTTCCAATGATGATGAAGAGGGTGACTGGTGGTGTCACTTCAGGACGGTGGAGGGACAAACTGGCACTGCGACTGTTTCGGGATTGTATAAATGCGCGCGAGTGAGTGAGGGGAGGAGACGAGAGGAGGTGGGTGAGAGTAATGTTGAGCCAGTGGTTGCGAGAACGACGGTAACCGTTAGTTTCGCTGGATTCTGTCACTGAACAGGAAGCAGGAACGATGTTTCCACCGCCGACCGTCCGCCGCTGAGGTGCCGTGTCCAAACGTTTACGCGGAGCCGCTCCGACGCACCGCGGACCGCGCCTGCCGTCCAACCCACCGGACAAACACAAGGTAGGCACCGCCGTTCCAAAACTTTCCACCTCTCTGCGTCTCACGTTTGACGGCTGATGAGGTGCTCCTATGGACTTGTAAAAAATAAATGTGGTTACACAACCTGGTGCTGTCGGAGGACTTTAGATGCGGGAGGTTCGACGCAGTGTTTGCGGTGCGCTTCACCTCCGCGCGCGCACATGGGCTCCGGTAGCCTCGGAGCTCTCGTTGTTGCTGGGCGTTGCAGGGCCACCAATGGACATCATCTCGGTGTGAACAGGTGTGAGTCATAAGTTTAATGACGCCTTTGTAGCGCGAAAATGGTGGACGGGCATCAAGCACAACATCGCCAGAAATGAGTTTTATATGGAGACAATCCTTCTATTAGTCCCACAACAGCGCGGTGTTACAGCAGCAAATGGGACAGAGCAACAGCAAGAGGCTAAAAAACATAAAAAGGCAAGGTATAATAAATAAGTAAACAAGTAAAGTAATAACGCCATATCCACAATAATACCCATCACGAGCTTTTCATCTAGTTCACCCCGATCACCCCTGACTTTGTCGGGGTGAACCAAAGTGACGATGCCACCAAGTTGCGCCGTTGGAGTTGGAGGTTGCAGGGCCACATCCACCCAGCTGTTTGGTGAGATGCGTCTTTTTGTAGACGAGCCCGATACCATCTGCTGCTCTGCGTGCCCAACATCTGGATGCGGCCGTGAGTCACCACTGGTAGATCGGCCTGGACTCTTTATTTGGTTTCTGGAGCAACTTTCTTTTAACTGAGTTGAGTCTTCAGGTAGAGAGAGAGAGAGAGAGCTCCTGTCTGCTTCCTCCTCCTGGGTTGTGTTGTGGTTGCTTCACCCTCCCTCCATCCATCCATCCCTCCTCGCTGTCCTTTAGCTCCACTCTCTTGCTGCTGTCAGCTCTGCTTAAAGATGTCTTTTGCTCCTCTAAAGCACATTCCAACTTGTTCACTACCTCCCTCTTCTCTCTCTGCTTGTGTTGCACTATTCCCATCCGACCTGCAATGATTGCTCCTAACTTGGTGTGAGTTAATTTGCATAATGAGGATTACAGCTGACATGCAGCGTCTGGGCCTGTCTCGCGTGGTGCTGCGTGGCAGCTCTCATTGTGGCAGCAGAATGCGAGGACTCACCGGGGGAAGGCTGCTCGTGCGTCTCTGCCGTCGCAGGGGCAGAAAGAAGCAGTGAGGGACAATGACAGATGGACGGTCTGAGGATGAAATTATTCATGTCTGAAATTAGCTGTTGATGTTGTAGCTGGCACAATGGCTTGTTAGATATGGATTAATGAAAGTGCAGACACGTTTTTGTTTAGTTTTTCCGCACGATGCAAGCGGCGCAAATTGATTTGCTTCATCCATTTCTAGTTTTAAGCAACAGTTCCATCTGGAGGAGGAAATACATTTGTCCTTGTTATTTCTTATTTTTGTTACATCTTTGTTTTTTGCTGCATAAACGGTTGTCCCGCCCACTTTGCAGCTAAATTTATTCCAAAGCTCAAACCACGGGTCAGAGCCCACCAGAGGACACGCAGCCCTGAAGCCATGTCTTCACATGACAACGGACGGAGCCGATTCCCGAGGGGAATGACTGCTTTTCACATCCGTTCTGCCTGTTTTGTCTGTTTCCTCTGCTTCCTATTTAACACCTCACATTTCTCTCTGGTAACCATCATCTTCTGGTCATTTCCTGGTGCTCTGGTGGAAGCCTGTTAGCCTGTAATGACCTGTTAGGTGCTATTTGTGATGTTTGTGATCTAGGAATTGAGGCTTGTCCTCCTGCTGAACTCGCTGTGATCTGTGCCGTGTGTTAGCATCACCTGAGAACAGTTGATGGTAGCCTGGGGCCTCATCTGTCAGCCATGCGTACATGTTTAGTGCATCAACCACGCTGATTTTTGTAATAATTGTAATAATGAACTATTAAATTTGGGTACCACTGATTTAAAGTGACGCAACTTAGCCATTTCTGTTGTGCTGCAATTAAAAAGCACTTTGTAATCTATGGATCACACTGAAGTGGAACTGTGCCCGATTGTCTGTTTTCAGGGCTCTTCTCATTCACTGTTCGTACTTGTAAAAAGTAATGCACTGTAATACGTGTATAACCCACATAATCGTGAGCCAGGACGTGTATGGCTGCCTCTAATGAAGTCTGCTTGTAATAGCTGAGACTTATGTATATAACTCTGTTACCCTGGTGCATGCTGGGAAGCTGCTACAGTATCTAAGTCGCGTGGAGTGCTGTAGGAATGAGTGCTGTCAGTCTAACCTCGAAGTTAGCATCTAACTGGTTCCCTCGACTAAAAGCCAATTGGATTTCTCCGTTGAATTTTGGATTATAGCAGATAATAAGCTCTGTGGCAAACAAAAGTTTGTGATACTTTTTCTTTTGTTCAGCAAGATAATCTTCACAAATGAACATTACTGTTATGATTTTTGTAACGTGAATGCAATCAGCAGAAGTAAAAAGCTAACGTTAGGCTATAAACGAACTACACCACGGTCACATGAGTGAGAGTGTACAACGCTGTAAATGTGGACTAGTCGGCGTGATGACAATTTGTAGTCTCATTTAGTCTCTTGTTAAACATGTAAAAGCTTCAAAAGTCACGAGAGGGGTATTTACTGATGTATTTTATTGCGTAGAACAAGCCGTTAAAGTCTCTGAAGCGTTGTTAAGTTGTGGATAGGACCTGGTACTTTGTATAGTTAGTCTCGGTCGAGGTTCCACGCGAGCTGAGCCGGTACTAGAGGGTGGAGTTAAAACAATCCAGACATGATTGGTCAAAGAGAATCGTCACCTCCTGTACATCCCACCATTTTTAAAATGGCCAAACTATCGTCAAAAATGGCCGCAGTTATTTTTCATTCACTTGACCTAGATTTAAAAAAATGTCAGTCCGCAAAACTACATCGTACACTATGCCAAACACTTGACGAAGTGCAGACGTTTCATGCGGTGTTGCTATGACCATCGGCTGAGAATCCTGCCTAGAGGGCGTACTAACCACAGCAGGGAAGAAACAGAGACAAGTACCTGGTACCAAAAGTGAGTCGGGCCGAGCCGAAACCACGCAGCGAAGCGGGTCATACCTCTACATCAAGGCTGCTTGGACTTTTAGAGAGATGTGATCGATCCATATATGGCCTGTACGTACATAATGCAGAGGAGGTGACATTCATCTTTGTTCATTGCGTAAAAGTTTAAGCATGTTTCATGAATACCATTTTAGAACCTTGTTTTATGCTTGCTTTGATAAATGAGACCCCTGAACTCTGCAAGACAGAGTTGGTGTATGAGTGTAGTACAAAATGTCTTTGTGTGGGACAGTGCCACACACACACACACACGCGCACACACACACACACACACACTACAGACATTAACCCGGGCGGATGAGTGTAGAACTGAGCCAATATTCCCATCAGAGGATTAAGTGGGATGCTTACAGTGGACACTTTGGACATCCAGTCTGCTTACACAGGGTAGAGAGGATGGCATGGATGAGAAGTCTGAGAGAGGGAGAGAGAGAGAGATGGAGAAAGGAATATTTAAGCTACCAAAGCCGGCAGAAAACTGAGTCAGGCTTTTAGTCAAAATAGTTTGACATTTTGCAAAA